AAATAAAAGAATTAGGTATATATAAGAAAAGAGGGGATGGAGAGATGGCTCAGAAGTTAAGAGCATTGGCTTCTCTTGCAGAGACCTGAGTTCATTTTCTAACACTTACATGGCAGCTAACAATCATCAATAACTCCAGTTCCAAGGAATCTGACACACTCTTTTGATATCTGTGTGCATTGCACGACATGGCTGCACTTACATTAACATGCAGGCAATACACCCATACACATAAAATAAAAATAACTTTTTTAAGAAGAAAAGAAACACACATGATTAGTGCAATCTCTAGATGTTTATTTGAATTTTATAATTTTGATTCAGCATGAATGGCAACAAATGGGTCCTCAGCAGAGTTACTAATAGAAAAGTGAGCAGTGCCATCTCCAGAAACTTGGATTTTAATTCCTGTGCAATCGCCATTGATTTTATCCCCAGAAATGACATCACAATATGTGCCCCCAGGCAGACCAGTTTGTAAAGTTAATGACAGTGACCTGAAAGCAAAAAGTTAATGGTTAAGTTAAATTTGGTACAGACAAGTGTAAGAAGATGGGCCATCTCCAAAACAAAGATCCCTATGCTTTGTGCTATGTGCTGTGTAGTGGTAAGCAATGAGAGTCTCAGTGAGAAAATCCCAACACAAAGACATCACCAGTAGGAGTGAAATTTTTCTCAGAAACAAAAGCATCCTTTCAAGCTTAGCAGATTCCCAGTTGTGGGAATTGCTACCAACCATGAAAGTCAAAGAATATCAATGGAGGTTTGAGAAAAAGCACTAACTGTCAGGAACATGCTCATTTCACATTTGGTTTCTGATGAATTTAAGGAAACACTGATTATTTTTAAGAATGTTAATGAGGCCTGGCATGGTGGCCCATGCTTCTAATCCCAGCATTTGGGAGGCAGAGGTAGGAAGAGCTCCATGAGATCCAGGCTAGCCTGGTTACATAGCAAGTTCCAGGCCAAAAGGAATGTTAATGACAATTTTTTCTCTATAAATTATTTGTTTACATGGTGCTAAAAATACGTGGGGCTAGAAATAAAATTAATCTAGCATTTCTGTGGAAAAACACATAATTTGGAACACAAAGCTGTTTGTATGAATTTATTTTGGTTCTCCCATCTAGAAAATGACATAAATTAACCAACTAGCCATATGTTTTTTTTTTTATCAAAGTAGAACTATACTTCACTACTTCATTTTTGTCAAAAAATTAAGATTCATGTTAACACAATATTTAAAAAAAAGTAGAAGTTAACTTTGAGTCAAGATACTTCACCTGCAATGTGGTTTACTGAGCTATGTTTCTACACATGAGGGAGTCATTAATGAAACAGGGACATAGTGTCAGAAATGAAAGGACAGCAGCAAATGTTTTAGAAGCAAAACTACACAATCCCTGATGAAAATCATGGGCCATGAGCACGTAAGCTATATATACATTGAAAATAGTGATCACCCAGTGGTTGAGATTTGAACGTGTATAAATATAAAAATAATAGGTGGCATAACATTCAGAACTAGAAAAAAAAGATGTTCTACCAATAATGCTATATAGTCTGTAGAGATTTTAAGAATTTTATGGACTATGTGTTTTGTGGAGTGTGTCATATGAGCACATATATAAGAAATGATGTAAATGACATTGTAAGTATGCATATGCACAAGAAAAACTCTACTTAAAATAAAATCTTTATAAAATATAGGAACAAAATAAAAGCAAACATCAATGATTCTTCTACACTTTCCAAATCCCTTTCCTTTAATTAAACCATTATCTAAAAGATACTTCAAAGGGAAGAATACAAATAGCAAGAAAACGAAAGAATTTTCCAAGAGTACAGTAGCATAAAATGCTATTGCAATTGATATCGACTTACCAGTCATCATTGTTAAAGACAATGAATCCTTTGTTTCCTCTTCCAAAAGCTACTTGGTTGCTGCCATTGTCCCACCAGTTTGCAAAAGGCTGTCCATTAACTACATTTCTGAAGGCAACCATGTTCCTGAAAACACAACATCATGTCAAATGGGGTATCCTTACACATCATTCAACAGTTTCAAATGTTAAGGAAAGTTTATCAGACAATATTTCTTGGGAAATGTTCCCACCTTATTTGACGCCATCGATGTTCACAGACCCAGCCATTTCCACACGTGGTGTCTGCATTAATGGTCACTTGTTTGATTACACCGTTGTCATTTGGTGGTCCAATCCAATCATTAACATCCTTAATTATTAAAAATAATTCATGTTTTTAACATGCATGAATTTGCCTGTTCCGTTTGCATTACACCAAACCCATCAGTTGCACTGCTTGTGGCTCTGCATTGTCTATTTAAAATCTAATGCCGTCAGTATCTTTCTGTACTTTGGTCGGGTATTTATCTTCCGTGCCTACTCTGGCTCTCTATTACTATATTTCAAACATCAGCAACAATTTCTTAGCCTCTTATTATTTCCCATGCAATAGCTTCTCAATATCACTAAATCTCTCCAGTGTTTCTGAAATGGTAAGAGCATCAGCGTCAGGATCATAAAGATTAAAGCATGGGGTCTGTACTTAGAAACAATGGTCAATGCATATAACTTGTCTGTGCCTGAGTTTCTTTATTTGTAAAGCAGAGAGATGTTTCTTGGTTGCTATAAAAAATAAAAAATATCTATGAAAACATTTTGTATGTAATAACTTCCAAATTGATATTAGTTGATCTCATACTATCTTTTGGATAAGCATGCTAATCTATATAGCTTGATAATCTTTACCAGATTTAATAGAGTTTTAATATGTACTTCAGGATCGAAAAACTTTTCAACCTATCTGTATGTTTAAAAATTAGAGACATCCTTGGTAAAATCATGTCATATGGATACTGGACAAATATATTTTTTGCATATAGAAATCTTGGAAAATGTCATGCATGTGTGTATCTCTGTATGTCTGTATATAAGCAGAAGGGAAGTGGAAATAACCTGTGATTCCTGCTTAGAAAAAAAATAACATATCAGAACTTGGCTCAATTTTTCAAGGCATTTACTGAATATTAAAGCTATTTAACAACAGAGTGAGTTCTTATAAAGAGTTGAAGGGTTGTGAAGGTTATGAAAAACACGTGTCTGACTTAACTTCACCTAGACTTTCAGATATATCTTGTGCTTTTTTCCTAGTTGACATTTGACATTGTTCAAATTTGCATATCTACCAAACTCTCAAATATGTTCATCTTTATAATTCTTATTAAAATTTGAAAATTTCTTTTCTTCTAGTCTCAAAATTTCATTTGTTACTTTTTTGTTTAGATCAGCTGAATTATTTTTCACATTCCATGAAGAAGATTTAAAGCTATTTCACAAATACTAATTTTGGTTATACCATGGGCAGAAAGTGTTTGAGCTTCTTTTAAGTGTGAGCATACAAAAGTCTCATGTCAAATCCACAGGGCAGAGATCTGTCTGATTTGCTTGTTGACGTCCTGTTCTTATCTCCTTTTTGCATCTTTTTCTTTTCTATTTGGTACTTTTTAAATATCATATGAAAAAATGGTGAATAAATGCTTAATAATATCTACTAGATGCTATAACTTAATATGACATTAAAACACAACTGCTTTATTTTTCTTGAGAAAAATACATTTTGTAAAACACTATAACTTACATTTCCATTCACAAACTGTCTATCCCAACGGTAGCTTGACATGACTCTTGTGAATCCATAAGGATGAGCCAGCATGAATCCAACAGCCATTTTGTACATTCTGAAAGTCACAAAATGATTATTACAGTAGAAGAAAAGTTTCATTTTTATGGTGATAAATGACAAGTTATAAACAGCAAAGAATTTTTTTCCTACCTAGCATCCCAGAAGGTCAAAATGGATGCGCCTCCAGCCCCATGTCCTCGCTGGTTATCATGGTTATCAACAAAGACAAGGGCTCTGTCGGTAGGCACCATACCCCAACCTTCTCCCCAGTTCCTATATAAAAAACCAATGGCATGTATTATTCTTTTACAATGATTTAAAGTAATTTAAATTTGCAAGTCTTTGTATATGGCATTCACAGTTTGATTCACTAAATGATTATTTTGTAAGTAATTTATTTCATATGTACATATACACATATACATCTACAATTAACAGACCATTATATGGCGATATATGGGAAGTATATCTTCATTTTATTCATGTTACCATTGTATAAAATTTTGCTTTAAAGTTTTCACTATGTTGTAATTGAGATGGACTTGAGAAGGATAATAAACATTTATATCTCATAACAGAATAAAAAGCTGGATATAAAACTATGCTGTTGTGATGTACACAGATAAAAATTCAAATTAATTCCTCATTAACAATATAAGCAAATTCTGTAATATAACCACATTGTCAGTACATGACAAATTTTCTTTAACTAATAAACTGAATTAAACAGATTATAGGCAAACATTAACATTTCACAGTTGTTAGGTGAAATTTTTAGTATCTAGACTGCTTCTTTGTGATCAATATTCTATTTGAAAAAGATTAATTGGAATCTGGGGATTAACAACCCATTGACAAGAAAATTCTTGATAATGGTACAGACTATAATACTCTAGGATGATAATTTATATTATGGTAACATGACACTAGAAATGTGATAGATCAAATGATAAACTGGAGTGTATTTACTTCAAGTAAGCCATCTTCTCTCCACTCCATTTGCGGATAACTGTGCCCAGTTTTGCTCCGTACTTGAATTCTGTCACACGGCCATTTCCAAAGTACTCACTGCTTGAAATTGCCTCACCACCCAGATCAATTACCTAGTAGAGATGTAGAAGTAATTCTCATTTCACTATAATAAATTTAAAGAATTTTAATAGAAAAATTATTTAAACCATTTACACATCTTCAGAATAAATTCATTATACCTAGATATATATTGCAGGACAAAGTATATACAACACTATTGAAATAATCCTGATGATAAGGTCACTTATTATTTTGTCATATGGCTGATACTAGTTAGCCATGCACAAGAGTGAAAATTAGTTACCACTAACATAGCACCTACAGTCTGATCAACATTTTCCGTGCTTTTAATCTTATTTACTTTCCGAAGGAAAGCAAAGATAAACATCATCTATCTTTCACATACTTCGGAGTGAAATATGCTACAAAGAAAGTGTCATCATCTTGCCTGTACATTTACAAACCTAATAAAAATAATGAAAATTCAAACAAACAAAGACTGGCTCGAGGTTTCAAAAAAAAGGAAACTGTTTTTCTGTCTTGTATAATAGACTTTGAGGATTTAATAAATGGATCAATGAAGTTTGCACGCTAAACATATCGTCTGCATTAACTTCGAGCCTAGTGTAATAAAGACTTAAGTATATTATGTCTGAATAAACAGAAGGTAAAATGTGCTGCACTACATAAGTGAAAGCATGTTTAGTAAAATCTGCCATTCATTTTCTAAGTACCAGCATGACATCATTCTATTCCCACATGTAAGTATTGCTTTACCTCTTGAAAAATGAAAGGTCTACTTCCTGGACAGAACCATTTTGTATTCAGATTGTTTAGTTTATCCAATACTGCCTTTATGTCTCCAGGCCACATGTGTTTAGCAGCATCAAGTCTGAACCCTGCCACACCAATGTCAATGAGATTGTTCATATAGTTAGCAATCGTGGTGCGAACATAATCTTTCTCAAGGGCAAGATCAAGAAGGCCAGTCAGACGACAGTTTCTGACCTGTTGGGGGAAAGAATTGTGTTTGATTTATATAAGGTCTCCTCTCAACTGCAAATGAATTTGATCATTCATTCCTTCTGCAATTAATATTTTCATAATGGCTTTATATAGGGTATTGGGAATATTAATCCTTTATTTTGGAAAAACCACTGAAATATTTCTACTGTAAAGATTAAATGTACCAGAAATAAAAAATATCAGCATTTTACTTGATTTTGAAATGTTGTCACTTTTTCTTTGTTCATTCTTCTGTTTTCTCACTTTCTTACATTTTCCCTCTCTCCCTCCAGCAAACTTTCTCTCTTTCTCCATCCTTCCCTCCATCCCTTTTGTTTTATGCAGCACAGATTATAAACTCAGAATACTGCATATGTCAAGCAAGTACACGGCCACTGGGTAGCAGCCCCATGACTAGGTAAAGATTTTGCAAATTAATTTGAATTTTGAAGCATTCTATCCAGGAAATCTCTTTCCATAAGTATCTTACCATGTCAAATTACAATAATTTATAATTTCCACCTGCACACTTAGAGGTATAGAACGTTCTTCATTCTGACGGTTATGTTTTTATTACCTGATTAGCATCATTATAGTTATTAATTTCTGCATCACATTTTCCATCGTTAAAATCCCAAGCAGAGTACGGAACTGCTGGAAATTCCCTGTTGTTAGGGTTGTAGTAACTTCCACAAGTGCTGCTTGTTCCCGGGGCATTTCCTACACCACACATGTGGTTGATGACAGCATCCACATAAATACGGACCTGAGAAGAGAAGTGAGCGCTTCAGTTTCACTTAGAAATCTAACGCTGCATTGGATGACCGCTACGACATGCTAAGGAAACCCCAAAGTGTTGTTTTGTTTTGTTTGTTTGTGATTTTTTTTAGAGTATCTTACACAAGAACAAAATTCTACTGTGAAAGAAAATGTTGTGAAATGAATATCAACAACAGCCTCAATATTTAGTCAAGTCTTTACATTACTGATAAGTGGAGTAAAACAGAAACTTCTATAACTGTAAACAAAAGGAAAGATCAGTTTTTGAGAATTAGGAATCAGCAGGGAACAAAAAGGAAATGCCTTTATTTGAAATTCCACTGCCTCATGGTGAGAAAGAAGTAAGACGGTACTCTCTGCTTAGTCCCTGAAGAGAAGATAGCTATTTAGCATCATTACAGAGAAAAATAACTTATTCATGGAGAACAATGTTGTAGAAGAAAACCCAAGTATAATGGGTGTACAGTAAAGTCACATAAAACATGACTCCTACTGTTACACCTGATACAATTGCTCACCAATAAGTGTTACTAGGAAGTATATGTTGGTATAAGGGATAAGAACCAAAGTTTTGATTCATAAATAGTCCTCTTTAAACAGTTAAGAGGACATTTGGAAAGATTTTCAAAAGGTGGTCATAACACTGCAGTGGGCATTTTGAATTGTAAATTAAAAAGTAAAAATATCAGGGCTGGAGAGATGGCTCAGCGGTTAAGAACATTGGCTGTTCTTGCCAAAGACCCAGGTTCAAATCCCAGCACCCACATGCAGCTAACAACTGTCCATA